ATAACTGTAATGTTGCTACTGTTATGAATCGTAATGTAAATATCTGATATGCAGGATGGTCTTAGGCGACCCCTGTGAAAGGGTCGTTTGACCGCCAAAGGGGTCGCGACCCACAGGTTGAGAACCGCTGCCTTAAGGGGTCCCGGATTCTAAGAGGGTGCAGGCCAGGCTGAGAGACCGAATCTGTGCACCGGGCCTCTAGTCTTGAATAAAAGTGGCTAGAGTGAGCAAACTTTGTCTTGTTCCTGTCTTAGAATAAGCTTTCAACTTTTCACCATTGCATATGTTACCTTTATTATGTTGAGGTACATTTCCTCTCTACTCACTTTGAGAGTTTTTATTATAAACTAGAGGCCAGTTCACGAAATTCATGCACTGGGGGGGGGGGGGGACGGGGACGGGGTAGAATGTCCTCAGACCGGACTGCACCATCTCGCAGTCTGGGAGCCCTCGGAGGATTTCCGACTGATGGCTTAGGCCCACTCTTTGTGGGCCTAAGCTGTCAGTTGGACATCCTTTGCATTGCCATGGAGGCGGGACAGGCTCCCGCCACCGACGCTGCGCTTGCCAGCCGTGAGCCCCGCCCAGGGCTTCTGGCTGAGTGGCACTCTGCCTATGGGAGCACACTGACCACCAGGGGGCAGTTCCTGTGTTGTCTGTCCCCTGGGGGTCAGTGCGCATCATATCTACCGGTTGTCCTGTTGTTCGGTCTATTTGCATATTAGGCTTTTATTATATAGGATGTAAGTTGAATTTTGTCAAATGCTTTTCTGCCTCTGTTGAGATGATCATATAATCTGTATTCTTTATTTATTAAAGTGGTATGTCTCATTGATTGATTTGCGTGTATTGAATCATCCTTCTATCCCTGAAATAAATCAAACTTCCTCATGGTGTATAATTATTTTAATGTATTGTTGAATTCACTTTGTTAATATTTGGTGGTGATTTTTGCATGTGTTCTTGAGGGTTATTGGCTTGTGATTATACTTTCTTGTGGCATACTTTTCTGGTTTCAGTATCAGGGTAATGCTGGTTTCATAAAATTAGCTTTGAAGCATTCCCTTCTTATTTAATTTTTTTGTAAAGTATTGGTAATAATTCTTTGAATGTTTGGTATAACTTACTAGTGAAGCCATCTGGTTGTGGTCTTGTTTGTTGGGAGGTTTTTGATTACTCATTCTCCTTACTAGTCTGTTTAAATATTCTATTCATAATTTAGTCTTGTTAGATTTTATGTTGCTAGGAATTTATCTATTATAGATTCTAAAATCTCTTGGTATATAATTTTTCAGTCTCATGATTCTTCACATTTCTGTGGTATCAGCTATAACATAGCTTTCATTTTTGATTTGAGATCTTTCTTTTTTCTTGGTGAATCTAGCTGAAGATTTGTCAATTTTATCTTTTCAAAGAACCAGCTCTTAGTTTCATTGATCTTTTGTCTTTTTAGTCTCTATTTTATTTCTGCTGTGTTCTTTATTTCCTAATGTTTACTTTTTTAAAAAATTCTTTATTAGTTAAGGTATTACAAATGTGTCCTAATCTCCCCATTAAACCCCCACTCCCCACCCCCCCCCCCTCATGCTACATCTGCTAACTTTTGTCATTATTCTTTTTCTAGTTCCTTACGGTATAGATTGTTTGAGATTTTTCTTGTTTCTTGATGTAGGCCTTTATTGTGATGAACTTTCCTCTTGGAATTGCTGTTACTACATCCCATAACTTTCGGTTGTATTTCCATTTTGTCTTAGGGTATTTTTTGAAATTTTTTTGATTTCTTCTTTGACCCATTGGTTATTGAGTAGCATATTGTTTAATATCCTCATGTTTGTGATTTTTCAGTTTCCTTCTAATTCATTTTTAGTTTCATACTATGTTGTTGGAAAACAGTGTTTGGTATTATTTCAGTCTTCACAAATTTATTGACTAATTTTGTGTTCTTACGCATGATCTATCCTGGATAATATTCTGTGTGCACTCGAGAAAAATGTGCATTCTGTTGCTTTTGGTTGGGCTGTTTTGTATATATCTGTGAATTACATCTGGTCTAACATTTCATGTATGGTCAATATTTTCTTACTGATTTTCTGATGTAAGTGGGGGTATTAACATCTATTATTACATTGCTATTTCCCCCTTTATGTCTGTTAATAATTGCTTCATATATTTATGGGTACATAAATATTTATACATTATATCCTCTTGTTCGATTGACCTTTTTATCATTATATAATGTCCTTCTTTTATCATCTCTTTACTTTTAGTTTGTGTGTGTCTTTACATCTGAAGTGAGTCTCTTAAAGTCCTCCCTTATCCACAGATTCACTTTACGTTCTGTTAACTTTGATTAACTGTGGTCCAAAAATTTTATATGAAAAATTCCAGAAACAAACAATACATTTTTAATTGCATGCCATTCTGAGTGGTATGATGAAATCTTGTACTGTCCCACCTAGGACATGAATCATTCTTTTGTCCAGGAAACCTACTCTGTATCTGTGTGCTACCTTCTCATTAGTCATTTTGTTATCAGACACATAGGTCAATGGAACAGAATAAAGAACCCTTTAGTTACTTGTAAATTTAAAATTCTAATCATAAGTTAAAGTCTTTGCAAGGTGGTTGTTCAATTGGTTATACAGTACAGCTATGCTAGCTGAGCACATCACTGAATATTATAACGTAACTAGTGGCCCGGTGCACAGATTCGTGCACATTGAAAGGAAATTAATTAGAAATATATTAATATTGCTATTCGCCCTTTCTCTATAAAAAAATGTCAGAGATGAAAATTAGTAAAATGTATATGAAAATAATAAATTGATAAACAACATTATAACAAAGACATGATATAAAAACATTTTATCAATTGATTAAACTTATCCTAATATCTCCCTGTATACCACATTAAGAGTAAAAACACTTTCAGAGTGCTTGACTAATTTCCCTTGTGATGAAGTATTTACAACTTTAATGTCACACGCTGTTCGAACTAGAGAAAGCAACATTATAACTGACCATGTCCGAAAACTTGTTCGGGTAGGAATATTCCTACTCTGTCTAGATTGGCACCAGTGAGTGCTTTATATGTATCGCACATGCATGAGTCAACGTTTATTTTTAAATTGCCATTGCATGTCATATGTACCAGTCAGACGGACGTACAATAGGTAACTTAGCCATATATATATATCTATATATATATATATATATATATATATATATGATAGGTTAAAAAAAATTTCAGTATCTTTTTCTTGAATGGTGAAACTTTTCCTGTTTTTTAGAATGGAAAAAAGTGAAAGGTTGTATGTGATTCAGCAATGATCTGCAGGGAAAGCACAATGGTATGTGAGATATGAGATAAGGACTTAAAGTAGTTAACTGCCACACTATTTTGAATTTAAAAAGGCCCGTCACTTGAGTCTATAGATGCTTATGGTATATGAATGGTAAAAGAACATGAAATGCAACGTGACTTTATATCAATAGCAACATTTCCCTAAAAATTTGGTTCCAAGAGAGTTCTTTTCCTCCAGTTCCTCAGGAGTGAAAACTGAAGGATATTTTCCAGATCCTTTTATTTTTATGTACTTTGCTAATTTCAAACCAAGAAAACTTCACATCTCACAAGATATTTTTTACATTGCTTTTGATGAAAAGTCAGTTACCGCTGATAGAAAAAAATGTAGACTTTTTCTCAGAAGTATACTTAAGTATACAAGATGGTATTACATATGGTGTTTATATATTCAAGTGAAAGCCAAGACAATCCTGTGGGGTTTTGTTTAAAAAATGGTCTATATTATGTGATGCTACGAATGAGTCATACGAAGTTCTGATATATAGTATAACATAATCAAGAGTGGGTATAACATAATCAAGAGTGGGGAACATCCGGCCTGCAGATTGTATAAAGCCTTGCCAAGGCATTAGGGGTGAGTTTACATGTTTGACCAAATATAGCAGGCTAATTTTTAAGTTGATAATTTGTATGGCCTACGAATGTTATAATTATCCAAATGGCCCTTGGCAGAAAAAAGATTGCCCACCCCTGGCATAGATGATTCACTTGTTTGAGAAACCTAGGATGGGTGAACAAATTTAGAGATGGAAAGGAGTGGAGCTTGCTGGGGTTGGGAGAGTGTATGAAATGGGAGATTCTGCTTAGTGGGTACAGGGTTTCTGTTTGGGGTGATGAAAGTTTCTAAAATTGTGTGGCATTGAAGGTGTGCTTGATGCCACTGAACTGTACACTTAATGGTTTAAAAGCCCAGCCGCAGGCTCAGTGGTTGAGTTTTGACCTATGAACCAGGTGGTCACGGTTTGATTCCCAGTGTGGAAGGAGGCAGCCGATCAATGATTTTTTCTCATCTTTGATGTTTCTATCTCCTTCTTCCTTCTTCTCTAAAATCAATAGATTTTTTAAAAATGGTTTAATGGAGGAAATTGGAACCCTTGTGCATTATTGGTGGGAATGTAAAATGGTGCATATAGAAAATCATATGATCTAGGAATTCTTGTATACCTGCAAGAACTGGAAAGTAAGATCTCTAAAAGATATTTGGACACCCATATTCATAGCAGCATTATTAACAATGGAAACAACCTATGTGTCCCTTGACAGATGAGTGGATAAACAAATGTGGTATACAGTGTATTATTGAGCCTTAAAAAGGGAAGAAATTCTGACACATTCTACAACATGGATAAACTTTGAGGACATTATGCTAAGTGAAAATAGCCAGTCACAAAAAGACAAATACTGTTGACTACTTACATGAGGCACTTAGTAATAAAATTCATAGAAACAAGTAGAATGGTGGTTGCCAGGGACTCTGAAGTGGGAGGAATGGGGAGATATTTAATGGGTATAGAATGTGTTTTAAGAATTTTAAGAAAAACGTTTTAGAGGGCAGTAATTAATACAATTATTATTTTAAAATGGTAAATCTTGTTAGGTATATTTTAACCACAATTTTAAGAATCATATTAAGCTCTTTTTTCAGATGACTTAAATATTGCAATATTCACCAGCGCAGAATCACAGTGTGGATCAGTAATGGAAAGGGAAATTATACATTGTTCATCTCCCGAGATTCCTGCAGAATTTAATGAACAGTTTAACACTCAGAAAAAACAACAAGAACTAAGAAGTCAGAATAAAGGAGCCAACTTAGAAAAAGGAAACAGTTGGTGTAATGACCAGTGTAGTCAGTTCACAAGAACAGAGAAACAAACAAAACATATGAAGAAATGTTCTAAAAGACCTGAATGGAATATAAATAAACCACTCAAAGGGTATATTCCAGCATCAGAAAAGTACCCTAAACAGCTTCAAAAGCAGAGAGAAGAAAAAAAAGTAAGAAGGCAAATGGAACTGCTACATTTAGTAGAAAGAAATAATCCTGGAAACCTCTCTCAAAACAGAGGCACTTCACCAGTTCTTCATTCATCTCATCAAGACACAGAGCCAAAGTTCAGGTGGCATTTAGTCAAAAAGGTAAAGAAAGCTCTTCTATCTTAAAATATATTTAAGAACATGTATTGATGTTCTAGATTAAAAACACAGTTCCCCACATGCATGTTTTCACAAGGCTGTTTCTATGTCTGAACTGGAGTTGGTTTACACTGGGGGATGGCAAACTATAACCCATGGGCAAATCCATCCTGCTGCCTGCTTTTGTAAATAAAATTGTTGATACACAGCTATGCTCATTCTTTTATGTATTACTTTGGCTGGCTTCACACAACAGCTGCTGTTTAGAGTAGTTGAAACAGAGATCACATGGCCTAGAAAGGCAAGTGTTTACTATCTGGTCCTTTATAGAAAAAGTTTACCCTTAAACCTTATATAGATTAAAGCTGTTCTTTATTCAAATACCCATTCAGAACTTATGATCCATATAGACAGAGGATAATTTATAAAATCAGAAAATAATGGATTGGTTCCGACTCTGGAAAATTACAAAGTCCATCTTTTATCCAAATATTAGATTTTTTTCAACAAATAAAGTATTGTGGAAACATATGCAAATACTATTACTATTTTCTGCATTTATCCATCTTTTAGGAAGAAGAACCTCTGAAAATTAATTATTTCAGCAAAGAAAGGTATGTTATGAATAGATTGATTTCCATAGTTAGTACTGTGTATGTGGTACAAGAGATACAAAATATTTGCTCAAAATATAGGTGAGGTCAAGTATATATGTATTTGAAGACAGAAACAGGATAGTGTGATTTCGAGGTGAGGAATAGAGGTTTAAGGGAAAGGGTAGCTGGCATTTAAAATTACCTAGATTTTGAAGGCTAAATTGGATTGGGTTTAGGTATGTAAACAAGTGTCAATCTAAGACATTCTGCTTGGATTGTGTGGGGGGGAGGGAAGAAATGACTGGTGTGAATAATGAAAAATTCAGTTAACTAATGAGAGATTTATAACTTAGAATTTTTATGTCTTCATGTAATAAAGAAATAGCTGGTTCAGAGTTGTCTCAGAATGTGGCTCTAACAGCAAGTTTAGGTCAGATGTAAGTATATTACTTTATGATGAATTGAGAAACATTAGAATTAAATAACCTAGTGTTGACCCCCAGGATCTAGTAGTTTAATCCCTACCCCACTCCACCCCCAGGAGAGTATACATATCTTTAGCAAGTACTATTAAAAACTCAAATTAATCCCGTTCTGTTTCTAAAGGTGTTATAAGTACATTTAGGATAAATTGAAATGTAATTAAAGATTAGACATGGTTAATCTGAAATATACAATTTACATTGGTCCTTATGCTTTTTTTTGAAAAATACAGGTCTCAATCACCACCAGTTCCTGTGATAAAAAACAGAACTCAACAGACACTGAAAAAGAGTAATTACGAAAGAGAGGATCTGATCTCAGGAGGCAATCAAACAGAGTTATCACCCAGGATTTCTGAACCATCTCATTTTATTCCCTATGTTCGAACCAATGAGATCTATTACCTTGATCCAGATGCGCCATTGTCTAGGCCTCTAACCCAGGATCCTCAGTATCAAAATCCACATAGTAAGTATTCTCCCCTTTAATTGTAAATTCAAAATTGGTATTCCTATCCTAGAAAGTATCTTAAGGTTTGCCCAAGTTTTTTGAGGTCCATTATTAAATTTTGCTTGGTGCTTTCCTAGGATATAAATTCATTATGAATCCTTAGAATATATTATAGCATAGTGCTATATATATCATAGAAATGTTTTTGTCATTTTCATCTGGCTTTAGATTGTGACCAAGAACGACAGCTATTTGACTTGGACAGGGACCCACTTCTTAATCCTAACTTGGTGAAAAACAGGGATAGACAGCAAGCAATCCTAAAGGGACTATCAGAACTGAGACAGGTATGAACTTTTCTTTTATGAAGTGTGGATGTGACTTTTCTGTGTCTGGCTGTGTTGGGATGACTGTTTTACCAAATGCCAGGTTGGTTACATGATTTATGTGACTGCATCCCAGTTAAAAATCAGTATCTACAGGGATGGAGAAAAAGTAGGTTTATAGTTATATGTGAAACAGTTTATATTTTTGTATTATTTTCTATAAGAACTGTAAATCTACTTTAGCCCCACCCTATATATGTTATTCTTGAATTGAAACAACTTTCAGTTTGCTTCACTTAGCCATGTTTTAAGAATTTCCAGCATCAAATAATGATACAGTTCAAATATTAAGACATTTTTATTGAATGAAAAACAAACTCATACATTGTAAGACATGACCAATCAATAAGGCCCTAAAACCAAAGGCAGAAAATAAATATACAATTATGGTATAAGAGATTCTTAGAAATGCAGTTCACACTTATTAAAAGTGGATGTGTTGGCAGTGTTTGGAATTGAACATTGACACAAGTCCCAAAGAATAGAATTCAATATGAAATTATATGTATAACCTTACTCAGACTACTTTTTATCCCAGACCAATTACGGTGAATTCTAATCTTTCTTAGGTAAAAATAAAAATCACTATTTAAGGCTATAATTTTTCTCTATCAGTTAGCTTTAAAAAAAAAAAAAATGGCTCGCAAAATTTTTTCTGCTGTTTTGATTCACAGTGTGCCTTTTGTATTTGGAGAAAATACACTGCCATTTTAGGAATGCCTTTTTCCATGTTAAGTCATTTATCAGCAATGCCTCTTGCATTGCAAATTGGTGATTCAAGTATTGCTTACTAGTTCTTTCTGTAGACCTAGAAAATAATCCTTACTAACACAGGATTATGAAGAAAACTGTTTTGTTTTTTTAAATGATAGGTTTGGTTTCATACAGATTTAGATTTTTTACCTAAAACAACTTTGTGAAGACAGGTCAGGATGAAGGAATATGATGTACACATTCATTCCCATATTATTTCAGTAGGGTTTTGTATTAGCCACTAATGTTAGTGCAGGCAAGATAAACACTAGGCAGTGATGGCGAACCTTTTGAGCTCGGTGTGTCAGCATTTTGAAAAACCCTAACTTAACTCTGGTGCCGTGTCACATATAGAAATTTTTTGGTATTTGCAACCATAGTAAAACAAAGACTTATATTTTTGATATTTATTTTATATATTTAAATGTCATTTAAGAAAGAAAAATCAACCAAAAAAATGAGTTTGCATGTCACCTCTGACACGCGTGTCATAGGTTCACCATCACTGCACTAGAGCATTTGGCGGACAAAAAGGGGGGAATTTCAGCCCCATAATTATATTGACTTTAAGAATAAAGTCATCCCTATTTGTTTCTATACTAAAAATATAATCTTCAAATATTGTAATAGCTACACAATATCCAACTATGAAAGTCTAGTGTGTGAATTTTTTTGAGTGATTTGACAAAGCTTAAACTGTAGCCAAGTATCTGAGCTTAATACAGGTTTTCAAAGGAAATACAATTCTGGATTAACAAGGTAAAATAGGAATAATTTGCAAGTCTGCTACACACCTTACTAACATATCGATGTGATTTCAGGGCCTTCTCCAGAAGCAAAGGGAGTTGGAAACTAATCTCATGCCTTTAGCTGCCAATCAAGAAGATAACTTTAGTTCTTCATTTTCAATATAGAAAAATCAAATCCTTCACATTTGTCTTCCAAATTATAAAATGTCCTCGTTGCTTAACTGTATTTTTTCAAATAGCCTAGATTTATTTTTAAATGCTTATTTAAAATTTGTATATTCTGTAGTAAAATGCTGTATATGTATATATAATAATTTTTTTTAACAATAAAACACTTTTCTGCTCTGTCACAATCTGGGTATTAAGTCCTATAAAAACACATTCCTACTTACCTTAACACAGCCTGGAGTCTGTAATCTGTTAATAGACAATGTTGTTCCACACTTTTTAAATACCTATGTATTTTGCTCTATAAAACATTTAAAAGTCTTCTTTTGAAGTGCCAAAGGAAAAGTCTGGTTTAATAGATCCCAACTTTTACAAGTTTGCATTAGTAATGGAGAGGCAGTTATTGGCAATAGCTGTGGGTTTAAAATTTGTCTCCACCACATACTTTATCTGTGAATTTAAAAAGTTATTTTAATCTCGCATTAAAGTACTTACCACCTCAAAAAGATACTTCTTTTCTAAGACTACCAGTTTATAAATTTATAGGCAAAGGGTTTGTTCCAAATTGTCCAGTGCCTTTAATATACCTATTTTTTGAAATTGAATTAGGATAAGTCAAGGGTCACACAAGCACTGGAAATTATAATTACCAAGTACTCTAAAATAATAGGTTGACCAGAATTTTAGCAACATGCCAGAAGATAAAAAATAATGCTGCCTGGTATTAAGGCCTAAGTCTTATGTACATAGTTTATTATCTAAAAATGAAACGGAATTGTTAGATAAATCTTGAGGTATTGAGCCAAAATCCTGTAAATATTAATATCACTGGCTTATACCTGTGTAAAAACACTATACAAAAGCTTAAGTGAAAATAAATACAATAGTTGATACATTTCAGCAAAAGTAGTTGGTATCATCTAACAATAGAGGAAAGCCATTGCTGTTCACTATCCTTTTGCAAACACCTTGTTTTATATATAAAACAGACTTCAATTTGAAGCCAAAGTACAGATGACATACAAACATAAAACTTAAAAAGTGCCAACATGAGATAATTCAAGTACAATATATGTTAAAAATATATATATATATTTATTTCAATTTTCATATGCTTTAACTGTAACAGGCCATCATGATTTAAATAAGAGGGGGAAAAACATTTGAGAAAGGACAGAAACCTCTTGCTTAAAGAATGAAATATAAATTGTTAATTCACTTTTAAGAAACAGAAAAAAAGTCCATTAACAACCTATGTAAAAAAAAGTTACTGTAATTATTTTTCTTTTGAAGATGGCCTGCAAAATCATTTTTCCCCCAAGCTTTCAGTATAAGCAGATAAAAAGTAATTTTCACTTTCTTGAGACTGACTCGATGAAAGGGCATATGGTGTTCCCAAAAATGTCTGGTGAGTGAGAACATTAAAATGACTACACTGATGGGACATATTTAATTGATTTTGATAAACCTGAAAGTTGCTATATGAATCTTGTTCAGCTGAATTGTTGTTCTGTCCTTCAGAGCTTGCATCAACAGAAGCTCTCTCTTCAGAATCAATTTGATAAGTCTTATCTTCTAATAAACTTTTTTGCACGTCAAGAGACGATTGCAACTCAATTTGAATATTCTTATTTTGATCTGTTCCACGTGATCCTTTGGTCTCTTTCGCCAATATTTCTGAACTGCTGTACACTTCTATTTGTGAGATTTCATCCCCTGAATCCAGAGACATATCCTCTTCATCCTTTTCATCGTTTTCTAAAAGAGCTACATTTAAAAAACAAAAAGTCCTACTCTATTGAAATACACAATTTAAATTTTAAAATTATACACTACTCACACAATATAATGCGTCAGGGTCTGCAAGTCCACAATCCCTTAAATCTTGGTCTTCTGCCACAAGTTCACTTAGTCACAACACTCACACTAGGTGTGAATGTCCAGATAATCCGATGCTAAAAGCTTCTGCGAAATGTGTTCACGTTTAATGTTGGGAAATCCCAACTCCCAGCTCCAAAGGGGTTAATGTCAAAACAGCATCTAAAGTTATACGGTAATTCAGTATTTGACAAGACAAATACAAAATAAAAATTCTGACATCTAGCTTCACTGGATTACTAAACTGGTTAGCTCTATCAAATGATCTCTGCTTTTCATCAAAAACAAAAAGGCATCTTTTACATAAAACCTGGAACCAAAGCAGAGGCCATTGCATGAAAGACTAAAGCTATGGATATCCCTACTACTTTGTATTAAATTACTTTGTACATCTGGGGATATTTAGTACCCCAATGCCAAATCCCCACTTCTGGTGTCCTTTTAAAAAATATAACCCCTTCGCTGACAGCAGCAGCCAATAAAGCTTACAATACCTCAAAGAGAAAATGCCTACTTTATAGTGTGCAGTCCACAGAAACGAACAGCTTGTATTGACTACTGTATAATAAATGAGATTTTGTGTTTACTAAAAATGATAAATTCATTGAAACACTTCCCTGAAGCTGTTTACCTGTGGTGTGAGTGGTTTCAAAATAGGCATCTCATCATATGAAAAGAGTGAAACCATTCCTCTTTTTCTGTCTGCCTTAAAGAAAAGGAAAACTACTAAAACATTACCTGACTGCGACTCAAGAGTCTCATTAGCACCAAGCAGTGGAAGGTTTTCTTCTGTGACTGAGTTGTGATAGCCCACGAGATTTTTAAAGTTTTGCATAAAAGCTTCAGCAGATGCAACTACTATTCCACTATCTGTATAACTGGAGGGCATCTGGATATTCTTTTCTAAATTAAAAAGAAAATGTTTTGAGTGTAAAATACTTGAAAATGTGCATGGACAAATGATGCCTCCTCCCACCCCTCCTAAAATTCTTTCCACCACCCTTATCAGAATCATAGCAATCAATACTCACTATGGCCCCACAAAATCCTTTCATACACATTCTTATATTAATAGTAGAAAGCTGAAGACCACTGCTTACCTGTTAAGAAGACTATGTGTCGTTGCTGTATGTTCTGAGCCTGCAGTCTGATAAGGCAGTCCAATTCTGGAGCATTTCGCGTTTGTGAATCACAATTGTGGTAAGACAAAATTTCAACCAGATGTTTCTTCTGATAGACATTCAGAAGCGTCAACAGACTTAGAGCTTTAGCATTCAACCTGTGAAATTAAGTAGTTCAGTATCTCCTAAAATTTACTGTGGAAGTTTCTGCTTCAAATTAAAACTATAATCTCTAACTTGAGGCAACTAATGACAACTGCATTGCTTAGCCCACTGCCTGATACAGGGGTGCATCTTAGGGGAGAGGGGGAGGGGGAGAGAGAGAGAGAGAGAGAGAGAGAGAGAGAGAGAGAGAGAGAGAGCGCGAGCAGCAATTGTGCAAACCACATGTAAAGTTCAGGGGTTTTCTCTGCAGGCAAAGCTTGAGGGCCAGCTATTCAGTGTAGACTAAAATCTCAACCAGTCACTTATTAAGTAACGAATTTACAGTTTTTATTTTCCCCAATTTAGAACTTTAGTGAAGGCATAAACGGGTAACAAAAAAAATAAATGAACAATAAATAGTACAAACTACTGACTACTGTCAGGAACAGGATGGTATTAACTTTGTACAAGTTAGAACTTTGGGCCTCAGTACTGCTATCTGTTATGTAAAGATAAGATTTGAAGGTAAAACATGCTTTTAAAAAGTGAATTACTACCGCCAGGCTGGGTGGCTTCAGGTAGTTGGCATGTTGTCTCCTACACCAAAAAGGTTGCAGGTTCAATCGGTCAGGTCACATGCCTAGGCTGTGGGTTTGATCCCGGGTTGGACCACATATGGCAGCCAACCAATCCATGTTTCTCTCCCCCCCCCCCCCCGCCCTCCCCATTTCTCTCCCTCTAAAATCTGTGAAATTAAGTATTCTCAGGTGAGGATTAAAAGAAAAAAAAAGAATTACTATCAAAAGTTAAATACTTTAAAATTATTTAAGCATAAATTTCCCTAAGTGTGTACCATGGAATATCAATAAATATTAGAAATATTTTGTGATCTAAGTTTAAGAAATGCTGGTTGACAAAATGTAAAACAGAATTCTTAACTACAGAGTTGGTCAGATCCTTACATATGTGAATACATTGTATGGACTCTCTAGTAGTAAGATACAGGATCCCATACTCATCTGATTACATAATTGTTTGTGGAGCCTCCCAGAGTGATTGTTGCTCCAAGGTTCACACTTTGAGAAGTGACTTCTGGCCATGTAGGTGATTAGGACATAAGTGAATGTCCTGATCACAAATCCCCATATCATGTTGAGACCAATCCTTGTCTCAGTTAAGTGAGCTGTTATTAAATTAGCAGCCTAAGGTAACCCTCAAATGGGAGAAAGCCTGATTTAGTTAGCATACACACTTCAGTAAAAACAATAAAGACTACTGATTATTCCATTTTGATTATTCAAAACCCCCAAGTAGCAAAGATTAAACCAATTTTACCTATATACATAACTAGAACTTTCAGCAAACTTCTACCTAAACAATATCACTTGCAAATAGGCTAGAATAATATCACATTCCCTTATGGCTGGTTAAGGAAAAACTGAACAGCATCCATAATCTATAAACACAGAGAAATTCAGAAAGAAATTTTGTCAACTTCCACATGCACAAAATATTAAGTCAACAGCCATCATATAGTTTTTTTTGAAATCTTACCTTCCCAGTTCCTTAAGTTTTTTCTGAAATTTACAGTGGACTTTCCATTGCCATTTTCCTTCTGGAGTACTAAGTTCTTCGAGGAATGTCAAAAAATTTTTAAGGTTCTCTGTTAGAGATAATGAAGTTGAATTTAAAATCAATAAATTACAATCACCCAAACTTAATTACAAAAGAAGTGTCTGGTGATATTGTTTAGAAACACCTACATTCCTAAGTAGTATTTTCTTTCCCTCCCTCACCTCTAAAGACACTTTTTTATATTCTCTTTTAGATCTAAGAACATCACATCTACACATTATAAAAAGAACATGTTGATAACAATAAACCAGAAATAATCCAAGTGCAGTAGAGAGCCTTGCTTGCTTTAGATCAAATTTAGAGGAAATTATTTGTAAAGACTAAGAATGGGGAATTTGAGGTAAAAAGCTCAAGAAAATGAATGGAAATGTACTAGTTATCTGTGATTGGCTGAATGGATAATACAT